AAATGGGGACGTCAGGCTTTCCCCCAGGAGCAGCAGGTCCTCTGGGCAGACACATGGCCTGCTGAGATAAGAGACAGGAGGAGCCTTCCTGGTCTTCTTTCCAATTCTGATGCTGACTTGGGACTCGAAATAGCAAATCCATGGGCTAAGGGAATTTAAATTCTCAACGTGTATCAACCTTAAAGAGGAAAAAAATAGAGGAGGAAGGTCTATCTAAACAATTAGTATTACCTTTAGCATCTACTTTAGAAACTATATTGCCTTCATGGCATGAGGAATATATTTTCCAGAGAAGCAGAGAAGGTTTTTTTTTTTTTTTTTTTTTTTTTTTTAACTAAGATGCTGGCAGAACCATCCCAGTCTAAAGAATATTCTGAATACTGCCTTTTACAGGAGAAAAAGTATCCTGCCTACCAGACACACCTTTGCACTCACACAGTCTAACCCAGGATCCGGCTCGATCTTCCCCGCTAAAGACCCCCCTCTACAAGTGTGAACAAGTCACTCCATTTCTCTGTATTTCTTCCCCCACTTGCAGTCTATATTTCTTCTGTATAATTTAGGGGGAGCTTTGCAGACAAGCATATGAAATGCCATAAGGCATTTTAGATTTTTTAATCTGACACTTGGACAGGGAACTTTACCCGATACAGGATACCTGACATATATTAAAATAAGGTGTTGATGAAGCAGTGGGGAAAAAAAAATACCACATCTATCTATCCTGAAAAAGCCTGAAGTAAAAGTCATTATTATCACCATCCATTTTGAGATTTTAGGGGTTAGACTGGGATAAAGCTACACTGATACTGAAGAGAACAAGAAAAACCTGCACATTCAAAGCTGTTGTATGATGCAGCTTTTAAAGATGACGTAAAAAAATTCCCATCTGGCAAACATAGCGTTCCTTGCTGTGGTCACTGCTGCAGTAGTGAGGACAAGCTGTCCTCCTGTCTCCATAAAAAATACACCGTGCACATCTGTGTGCGTTCTTTCTGCTACTCTTTCAAATACTGACCCTCAGGGTGCAGGGTAACTTCAGCATCAAGTGTCCCGTGTCACACCGGACCCCAGCGACTCAGGGAGCTGCTGCGGGAAATGCAGACGTGCCTCACTGCTACCTCCCTGCATCTCCAGCGACAGCCTATGGAGTGGTACTCCTGCCTTCCCATCAGGTCATGTGGATGTTTCATTGTCTTATTTTCTTTCCCGTTTTATATAAAGTGCACTGTACTTCATTTTCCCTTTATTCACCCATTGTTTCCATTCACTGTAACATCTGAACACTGCAGTCCTTTAGCTTCAGTCCCTTTCAGCTCCTACTGCAAAACTTGCAGCTGAACTTCACACAGAAACCATTCACCAGGCTAGCAGCAACACCACCACCAAGGGCCTTGCCTTTCCTCCTGTTACAGCCTTCCACTGCCCAGGGAGTATTAATGCTGGATCTTCCATGTCTTTATTTGCCTGCTAAGGTTCCCAAGCAGTGATTCCCAGTATTTTTTCCAGTCAAATTCTGCTGTTACAGCCTTTTTTCTCTCCTCCTTACTCCTCCACCCCCTGGCTGTTTTTCACTCATTCCCCTCTGCCCTTCTCCCTTAGGGTGACAGCTTGTGCATGGGCTGCATGCACCAGGCAGTGTCCAACACCTGCATACACAAGTAGCGCTTCCTCGCGCACTGCCCGTCAATAGGTCCACATGTCACCCGTGGACCTGCTGCACTGCAGCTCCGAGGAAGCTACAGGAAACTCCACTCTGCTCGCCTGCACATCCTGGGATATATGGAGCTCTCCTTATGGAAGCATGGAAGCTGTGATTTCTCTTCTTCTCTCGAGCAACCTGAAGGTTCAGATTAGTGGCACGCACATGTCCAGCAGGATGCTCTGGACCCTGTCGCTCCCTCTGGGTTGCTTTAGCTTGCTAAACACAGGACAGGGAAACCAAAAATTGACGACAGGTTTTTATGTTGCTGCATTTTACCCGCTCTCTTCAGCCAGAATGACAGAAAAACAGCAATTCCAGGATCTCAGCCTAAGCCTAAGGTCGGCCTACACCACACGAAGCCCAGGCAGGAGAGTTAAGCTCAGTCAACTAGCGTCTGCAGAGACTGGCCGAGCCACTGCCGGGCCGCTTCCAGACCTAAGCTACTTGGATGCCCTTCACCTTCACCACGGTTCCCTCTGCAGCAGGCACGGACATATCCTGGCACGGCTGCCTGAGCAGGTTACCACGAGATAAGGGAAGCCCGAGGAGCTCACCCAGAGCGGGCTACCATCGCACTGCCTCCGTCCTCGGCTGCTCCCCTTTGCCAACGCTGAGCGAACAGCTCAGAAAAAAAAGCCACAACTACTTGGGCACAGCAATCCTGCTGCTTCTATATGAAGATTACAACTTCTACCCGGTGCTTGGGTTAAATTACAAGTCATTTTAAGGGCCTCTTACCACCGAACAAATGACTTCAAATTAGCAATCACACCTTGTCTATTACTATAGCATTTAAAATGAAAACCCAAAACGCAAAAGAGAAACATAAATAATACCCGTTACATGTTAAGTGCTGCTAGAAATAACGTTAGCTTTTAGGCAGATCTTACATTTGTTCTTTTATAAAGCCACACAGCATTTTTGGGTCACATCTTCCAAGTATCAATGAATATTCAGTGCAAGCAGAACTTACAACCGGGGGCAACCCCACGGCTGTGCCAAGCGGTGCCATCTCACTGGAGCAACCCTAAGGGCTACACCGACGCAGCCACACCACCGGAGGGGCTGAATCTCAATCGCATGTGGGACTCTCTTCTCAACACGCACACGAGTCAATGCGTGGCTCCACTTATAACGGAACTATGGACTTATAGCACTATACAAAAGACCTGCTGTTTTCATTAAGCAAATTGACAACACAGCACTTGCTACCACCAGTGACCAGAGCCGGACACAGTTGCATAACCCCTTAGGCAACATAAACCCCTTCTCCGTGACGCCAACCCAGCAGCACCATCACCTGAGTTTGGGCAAGAGTCACCTTACCAGCAGAGCTGACACCTGAGTCTGGGCAAGTCACCTTTCCTGCAGAGCTGACACCCTGCAGCCTTGCTGCACCGGCAGCGTGGCACGCAGGCTCTCCCTTCCACACCGGCAAACGTCCGGTAGCACTGCTGAATTGGGGGAAGCTCGGGCGTCCGCCAGCCAGAGGACAGGAACGTGAAAATGGGGATTCTGCCCCTCGGTTCCTACGTTTCTCAAAGCTTTTGCAACAATTCATCCCAGGGCTTGCTTGCTCCCAAGGAACACTTTGCAGAAGCACCCCGGAAATTAACCAAAGCCAGCGGGATTCAGAGCCTCGGAAAACGCCGCCCG